GTGGGATTTGGGTAAGTCAAGTGTTGTGTAACCTAGAGCTTGTCTGTGCATACTGTTTACCTGGAGTTTACCTGGAGAGAGTTCCGGGGGTCAACGCCCCCGTGGCCCGATCTGTGAACAGACCTCCTGGTGGATCAGAGCCTGATCAACAGGCTGTTGCTGCTGGCTGCACGCAAACCAACGTATGAGCCACAGCCCGGCTGGTCAGGTACCGACTTTAGGTGCTTGTCCAGTGCCAGCAGTACTTTTTTTTTGGTAAAGACCTCTTCAAAAGTCTTATATCATAGTGATGTGGTTCATTTTTGTGCTCCATGACCCATCTTGTTCTTCCCTACCCTATTTAAGTGTTGAAGTTTTTTGGCTGCCCCTCCCTTTTCTTCGTTCCTGTTCCAGTGACTTGTTCTGTTTACATTGTTTCCTTGGGGTCATTTCTGCCTTTTTTTCACTTTCTCTATTGCCACATTATTCTCTGAAATTTTAATAAGTACCCAAGGCTTGATATTCATATTTTCATTGTACTTAACCCGTAAACGGTCCAAACGTATATATACGTTTTTACCGCTAGTGCCCCAAACGTATATATATACGTTTTATGTGTCCTACATTTAACATTGCCACGATAAGCCTGAGTCGCCTAGACATGTGAGAATAGGTGTGAGCACTCACTGTGCGCCATATTAAAATAATTGGGGATGCTTGGGTACCATATGCTCCTTTTTCCTATTAAAAACCGACAATTTTTTTTCTCAAAGTTGGGGCAGTACGGTAGTGTACGTATATATACGTTTGGACCGTTTACGGGTTAAATTAGGCAAGCTTCAGCAACTCTTTGGTAAGGCTCATTGTCTTTCAAGGCAATAATGATGAGTGGTGTAAATGGTCTACCTTTGTTCCTGTCTTCCTCGATTATATCCTTTGTTTCTTAACAAGTCTTTATATGTTCTTTCTTTACACCTTTCTTCCTTTAAATCCTTATAACTATACAGTGGACCCTCGACTAACGATATTAATTGGTACCCAAGTACGAATATCGTTAGTTGAGTTTTTTTAGCGTTAGTCGAGGCAAAATGTTAGCGTTAACATGTATCGTTAGTCGAATTTAACGTTAGACGATGCCATCATTGGTCGAGGGTCCACTGTTTGTCTATTGACTGAGTTTTGTTAGGTAAGACACATATGCAACAGTTAGGTATCTTTATTTCGAAACGTTTCGCCTACACAGTAGGCTTCTTCAGTCGAGTAGGCGAAACGTTTCGAAATAAAGATACCTAACTGTTGCATATGTGTCTTACCTAACAACCTGTCGGTATTTCATACCATTTTAATGTTCATGACTGAGTTTTTAATTTTTTCCCACTTTTTCTTTTACATTGTGCACTTTCAATATTTTTTATTTACCTGAATTCTTCTGCTCACTACAGTTCCACAAGTCTACACTTGTTTTGCAGTGTGTGACCTTGATTCACCCATATACAGTACTGTACTTGCTTATCAGTCTTGATACTTCATTGACGAAATGAACATGGCCCACTGAAGTGCCTACTTAATAACAAATGCCATTTTTTTTATGTTAATGTCCAGGGTTTATTACCTGGACGTCAGTAATGAGAGTCGCTACTCTCACCGCTGGGCAACGGCGACCACTGCCATATTTATTTGAATGTAGTTAAATAATTTGATCAAAAAATTAATGCAGGAAACTATGTAGAATATCCCTAGAATCTTACATTTGTTGTCTTCACTACTGTATATGCCTGGGCAGTCATGCTACTTCTCATTTATTAACCCTTTGAGGGTCGACAGACCCTCTCAGAAACTCGTTCTCAGGG